AAAAAATCCACTCCGCCCACCCAATATTTTAGAGTGTGAAAATTTAATTCTTTCCTTTGTCTTTTAGACTTAATTTAAATAAATATGAAAATTATATTCGTTCGTGACCGAATCTTTATGCTTATCATCGTTATTCTAAGAAAGACTAAAAAACAAAGGAAAGAATTAAATTTTCACACTCTAAAATATTGGGTGGGCGTAGTGGATTTTTTCTGCCTTTAGAATAAAAGTGGAAATTAATATGGTGAACGTGCGTGTTGCACTTTATGAGTGCAACAAACAAACAAGAGACACGGTAAAGAAAGATGTGCACAGTATTTGTTACATAGTGGCGTGGGTGTTGTGGGCTTGTTCTTTGAACAGTTTGGGTAATTCTCAAATTCTTTTGCGAATTTGTTGGCGATATCTTCATTTTTGTGCGAACGAGAGAATGTTTACCATTTTACAGTTGCGCAGACGGAAAATGGGACAGATGACGCTTACATGTATTTCGAATTTGAAATCGGCCAAGAATTTATAGGCTTTATGGAGTTCTGGAAGATTGTTTTTGCGCGTCCAAAACAAATATTAAAAAAATATTGGGTAGGCTTGGTCAGTCTTTCGAGTTTTTGCACCGGTACCATCGGCAATAGAATACACGTTCAAATTTCCATACATTTTTCTGCTATAGTCCATCCATAAAATGAGCAAAAAAAAAATGTTTTTTTTGAAAAACAGACAGATGATACCAACCTGCAAGAGCTTCCAATATTTCTGACGAATTTGAAGCCGCTAGCTTTAGAACAGACAGTACAGAGATAAATATATGGACAGCCGGACAGTTGATCAGACTTGAATCGATTCAAAATTTGATGCTAATCAAAAATATATATACTTTATAGAATCTCTAAAGCTTCCTTCCGGACGTGTCGCAAACGTTTTGACAAAATGATTATATCTCTCATCCTTCGATGATGGAAATAAAAAGGGTATAGTCTTTGGCTACGAGAAATAGGGAAGGACAGCCAGCTTACAAGCGATTGTGTGATTATCCTTTCTCCGTACCATTATCTTAATTCGAAGAATGCTAAATTGTCTTAAGCAGCGAGCTAATAATAGAGATAGCGTTAGTTAGGTCCAAACGTTTTTGGCGGTGAATTTACATTTAAATATAGTTAGAATAAATGAATATTGAAATCCTAAGAGTTTTGGTATTTTGTAGAGACCCTTTTTTTGACAGTTTATCTCAATCTCAGCGCTACTTATGATAACTGTGCTAAAAGGTCCCGATATCGCATCCTTGTAGAACTTGAAATAATTGTAATAATCTCACTTGGTTTTTTTAAGGATACAATTATTGGTTTTTACTTTTCATTTAGTCAACAAATAATAAATTTTATAACAAACATTTAATGAAGTTTGGGAGAAGCGGCTTTAAGTGATTTTATGCCATGGGCATGATGATCGTGGTGGTCTGCACTGCCGTGACTGCTATGCTTCACAGTTTGGCCGGCATGTGCTCCTCCTTCACCACCTTTGCCACCGTCACCGCCTTTGCCGCCGTCTCCACCTTTGCCAGCTTCGCCATCTTTACCAGCTTCTCCTGCTTTACCAGCTTCTCCAGCTTCGCCTCCCGCCCCACCTTTTCCCCCTTCACCACCATGTTCCCCTTCGGTCCCATGATCACCGTCACCAACATGTCCTTCTTCATGATGAGCGCAGCTATACGCCACCATCAGTACCACGAATAAGCTGACAATTACTAACGATTTCATTTTGCAACTGATTTAAATTTCTATCAAAATCGATAATACATTGTGGCTTTATATATAGTTTGGCGTATGTAAGGTATTGTAGAAAACCTGATGATCTTGATGTATTGTAACATTGTTCATCGATGATGTAGGTGTGTTCAGTATTCAAATTGAAAGTGTAAACAAGTAAGAAATTATTTTCACTTTGAAGCGAATCTTGAACACCGGCCGCTTTAAATCACGTAGTTGGATCGGGAAGTTTTATCTATTTTGCAAGTTATTCGAGCAGAAAGTTTGACTTATTCGGATTTGTTTTGCATTATTTGAATTGTTAATTATTCGTGGGCAAACCACACCCATTTTGTTTATATGAATTTATGGAATACCGGCAAAAAGTGATAAGATAAGTCTTAGTGTTTCATGTCAATCTTTTTATTTTTTTTTAACTTTGAGAATTTTGACGGACAGACAGACAGATGATAAGACAAGTGCACGTCTAGTTTTTCATTGATGCGTATAAAGCGCGAATTCATTTTACAAATGCAAAAACGAATTGAATATACTTTCATCCTTTGATGATAAATATAAAATTAATGCTTTATTATATTGAAGTATTGAAGACATATATTATTCACTGTCATACCCATACACTATCGATTAATTGTTGAATTCAATGTAAAACTTGATCCCAGGTGTTCGATGCAATATTATCATAACTTGATATCGTACCATTATGCAAACAAAAAAAAAAAAAAAACCTATAGTGACCGATAAATCAAAACTAAAACGGAACAAATTCAAACAATTAAGGTGAAGTGCACTTGACTATCGAAATATGAAGTCATTAGAATATCGTGCGTATCGTGAATTTATTGAAAGAAAAAAAAAAAAAAAATCTTATTTCCGCGAAAATTGCAAACGCTTTTAATATCCTACATCATGTTCCAAATAGTTTCCCAATTATTTTTGGAATTGCTCAGCAATCATTTTCTAAATCATTTCACGATTTTTTTTTTTTTTTTCATCAAATTTTCGCTTATTGTTCCTTACCCCATATATTTGAAATAATCAATCGAAGGAAAAAGTTCGTAGCGTTTTTTCATCGAAACTACTTTTACGATCAATAAGCTGCTTCGATAAAATTATTATGCCATCACTATCGAGGTTTTGAAATTTCCGACAGAGCGAAAGAAACGGCCGGGGCAAAGTTTCCTAGCCAAGCTCGATCATTTTTTTTTTTTTTTTTTTTTTTTTTTTTTTTTTTGACTCATTAAAGATCGCATTGCTATGATGATAGGCCATGCCTTTCTTACTAATGCATTCTAAACGATTTCCCTTCGTCGGGTCACATAGGAGCAGCTTATGATTCTCATTTCAATGCTATCATTAGGCCAGCTTCGTTCACCTCTAAACTTTAACGATATTTTTCGCATACTATTTTCGCATGCGATCCGCTTTTCGACGCTCGTTAAGATTGTTTTAAAAAATTTCATTTTGACAGCGATCCCCGAAGTTTCACGTGCTATTGATTCACGTGCTATATTCACCAAGTATCGATCGACTTTTTACAACCATGCTTGTGCGAATGACTGAACAATGTTTTTCAGTTCAGCGCGTCTTTAGCTTTGGAAACCAAGTCATATATGTTCTGCTGGTTTTAATCAAATATCTTCACCATATTTGCGAGGAATCTTTCACAAGCATGCGAAGCATTTTCAGCTTGCTCTAAATGATATTGAAAAATGAAAAGCTTCTTCAGCATTTGCGCTCATGGTCAAAGTGCAATTACTTTCGATTGAATTAGTGACAAGTACTACAATGATTTTTTACGTATCTCTTAATTGTCGTTATTCATAACCGCTTTACATTGCCAAGTTTATTTCACTTTTAATTCACTTATTGCGGAGATCATCGTGACCATTATCCTTGAGGAAATATTTTAGCAATTAAAGCATTCTGAAAAATAATCGAGGCTTCATCTTCTATAGGTTGAAAAGCTGTACTTTAAATAAGGCTAAGCTGTCAATTAATTAAGGATGGGCGCAATTTTCAATGTTATGTAATAAAGTCGACATGTTAGCATATATATGCAATGGATGCTATACTCAATGCCGTTTTATTTTCCAATTACGACATTATTGATAGATCATTTAAATGTGATAGAACCTGTCTATTAAGGACCACGAGTGGTAGATTTGTCAAATTTTTACAAAGTCTAGGTTTAATAAAATTTTCTAAGCTTCTATATCAGTTAAGTAAACGGAACAGTCATTTTCGTTTGCAAGACTAAAATCTAATCCAACGCTGGTGAAGGCTGACATACAAAAAACATTGTGATATTTTACAAGATTGCGCCCTGCTTAAGTAATAACGCTTCCCCAAGGCCTGTGAAAGCAAAATTGCAAAAAACATTTGTTTTAATAAAATTACCTTAAAAGAAAAAGAAAACAAAACGCCACGCACTTTCTCCTTGTCGTAATGTATGCCATTTATATATCCCTTAAAATTGGGAGTCAATTTGTCCATATATCATCTCCATCATTTATGTAGCGTACATACGTACGTATGGAGGTGTGTTTCCCTCCTGGTCAAAGCAACGCTATTACAGTCTTTAGATGTAACATTTTATGGAAGCTTATATGGAAGTCTATAAAGAATTTGCTTTTATGATGAGGATAACGCTCGTAATTCATCGCTAAACTGCGCCTGGGTGATGTAGCAAGAAGAGTGTGTCGTAACACTTGGAATTAGAAAGCTATACACCATCGACTTTCATATTCGTACATAGGCTAGGAAACTTTAATTTGAAAATACATTGGTTTTGGAGAATTCAGTATTTGACAGGCGAGAATAACATACAAAGAGCGCCCTACCAGAAGGTTTATGTATTGGGTAATCCGGAAAGAGATATCGTTTTCATGTATAAATATTTTATTAAGAGTAGTGGAATACAATTGATTTTAACTTTCAGTGACGTCACGAATTGTCATTCGGCAGTTTGCTTCAATTAATACCCTTAATTTGTCCTTATCAATTCCTAGCGGCCTTCGACAACGCAATGCAAAAACGCTGAAACCAGTTTTCACTCTGGCGTTCTATCCATTCATCGCCTTCATATACGTCCAATAACTTTTTTCTTGTTTGAACATCATTTTTATCTACTCGCTAGAAACAGAAGTAACGTGGGACGAAAATACCGCTTTCTACATTTCATACTTAGTAAGACCCCAAACGATAACTTTTGCGCGGAATCGAAGAAAATTTTTCCCACGCAAGCATTACGAAGACATACGCTTTAAATGTGAACTTGAACGACAAAACTTTGCGAACGAAATGGAAATTTAGTAAAAGCTTTACATCCTCTTTAGGATTTTCCCTTGCCTGAGTCATTTTCAATATTAGCTGTGAGCTACCTGAACTAGGACTATATGCACTTCGAGCCTTTCTTGGGAGGGAATTTGAATTTCCCTCTCTCTTACGTCGATTAATATGAAAAATCCGAGAAAACGTTTACTTTAATTTTCCCTAGTCGTTCATCGCAAATGAAAAATTTCGTACGAAGAAAAGGGATTTGTTTTTTTTTTTTTTTTTTAATTTTATTGTTTTTAGTTTTTAATTTTTGTTACAATCGTAAACGGTAAGCAGTAAGCAGTTAGCAAAACTCATTTTCCGCCACCACCGCCTCCACCACCGCCGCCACCGCCAAAGGAGCCTCCACCACCGCCTCCGCCGCCTCCTTGAGGTTCTGGCAAAGGCTCAGGAGAACCTGCAGAAAACATAATTTAAAATAATTAATTTTACCCTTTGTACACCTTTTTATACCGTTACTTACCCAAAGCTAAGGCTACTAAAGCCAATATTGTCGCTAGAAACGTAAATATTTTCATATTCCAGAGCTAATGTTGCAATGATGCTAAGTTTGCCGTTCACCTGGGCTTTTATAAGGAAAATCAAATAAACATTATCTCGGATAATCTTACTTGATGGTTTTTCCCCATATAAGCACACATGTACAGGGCCGCTCTTCAGTTTCAATATAGAGCGTATGGGCCTCTTTGTATAAATTTTGAATTAAATGACTGTTGTATGCTGCATTGCAAGCAAGCTGCATTGGTAGCCCGAACCATATTGATTGGAATACTTTCTGTTGGACATAAGCTCTAATATAACCTGAGAAAATCTCTTAAAAATATCCTGAAAGTTTGAGGTCCCATTCTTGTATTGGGCGAAAGAGCATGAACTGACCGAATGCGAGATATTGACTTGGAAAAAGTCAGTTTTGCTCTCCACTCTCAAACGTTGAATCTAATATCGTTAAAGTTCAATCAATGGGTTTATATTAGGCAAACTCTAGATGTTTTTAATTTGATATTAAATTAGGCCCGTGTTCCGCTGCACCTGCACCACCGACCTGAACTTCACATATGTAACAAAACTGTAGAAATTGTTTCACCTTGATCTCGCTTCAGACAAAAGTACTGATAATGTAACGAGATTGTGTGCGAAACTATATTTAACGGATTGGTTGATTTTACGTGTCATACAAGTATGAATTTCCCATTTTTTCTAAGAATTATTTTTCACAATTGTAATTATTTTGCTCATAATGTATTCATTTCATTATCTTTTTATTGTTTTTAACCTCATTGCAATGATAAAGCATAGAACTACGTCTCATAGACGTATTAAACAACTATATATGTTTTAATTAGCCTTAATTCGTACTTGGTCGTCTGTCTATGGGTTGTCTATCGTTTCTTGTTGAAGTTCCTGTTCTCCGAAAAAATGAGACGAAAAGTTAAATCTCGAAACATAGAGTCTCGAGTATCGATTAATGTCGACTCTTTATGTAATCGTCAAACTGGAGTCCGTTTGGGGCGATATATATATATATATGCAAAAATGCATTTCCTTGAAATGATTTCTATATAGGATTTTTTCAATTTCAAGTCGTCTCTTTTCAAAATTATAGCGAAATAATATTGAATTTTGAATAATTTGCTTCGCTTGGCGATGATCTTTTCTTTGCGATCTAATATTTTATGAAAAGTGATCGCGGGAAACAATCCGCTTCAATCCGTTTTCCAATAGGGTTTCACGTAGGATTACAACATATCAGTGCAATAAATTTGATCAAGATATATGCGATCTATTGTTCGAAAATAAAAATATATTAACCGATATATAAGACGGACAGAGAAATAAACAGGCTGGAATTGCTTCAAAGAATGATTCTGAATCGATTGATATAATAAATGATCTACACCAAAAGATATTAGTCTCGGAACGGTGAGGTATTTCGTGCCCTCTAAATGCTTCTTCAGTCGCTTTCCTTAATTAATTGATTAAATGATGACCATTTTCTAGTACTAGACAAATCAAACTTCAATTTTCGACCATTCTAAGTCTCAAGCATAGATATTTTTGCGCTTCTTTCTTTTAACGTTTCATTTTGTGAAGATCAGCTGTTCTCTCGGTTGACGAGTGAAACGAATGTTACAGCTGTATACGACAGCAAGTTGATCCGAATTCAATATCGTTTGCCCGTAACGAGTATGCCATTGGCCTGTTTACAGCGTATATGCTGTGCCGGTAATATAAATTGGAAGACTTGAATACGTGCCGTCGGGAAGAAGAACATGAAATTTAGTAGAGGCAGGTTTTAGTGAAAGGCGCCTGACATTGCCGTATACTTTTTATCTATCTACCTCATTGGCATTAACGTAACCGTTACTCTACGTGATTTATAGTTCTTGTAATTGTTCCCTAAATTGATGCGCTTCTAATTCGATCGATGGCCATAGATCAGTAAATACTTGAAATTTATTTTTTTCGATAAACAATAAAATGAAATAAAATAAAAGCAATCTTTCAAGGGTAAGTGAACTGTGTTGTGCAATAATTGTCGCTAGAATAAATGCTAGAAATTTTGGATATTCTTTAAGACAATTCTTAGATATATTCTAATACTTGTATAATTATAAAATTGCATAACTGCTTTCGGAATTGTTCCCGAAAGATCTCTGTGTACACGCTACTCATAAATTATAGCAAATTATTGTCCTAAGTAGATTTTCGTTTCACTGGGTACTTGTAAGTTATAAAGAAATTAATAATAAATTTGTTTTTGTGTCTTTGTTCTTTTTTAATTTTCCATTGAAAGGTGATAAAAACTTACAATAAAAACAATGTAAACAATCATTCAGTTAAGTGCTTCTATTACACATTTACAAGATTTTTGTTTTTATTCTAAATTATTCAATAAAAACTTTTAAAGCGTTTGCTAATAAATGCTTTCTGCTCGGATCAGTAGCAACATGAAGTTATTGACTGCAAGTTGTGTGATATTATTGGCGGTTGTAGTTTGTTTGGGTTTGTATTGGCGATAACAAAAATAGTTTTCTCGTATTTTTGATGTGAACGAAATTTTTTTTGTACTCGAAGCCGAGGTTCAGGGACCCCCGCGTGCCAAAAGAAGTTACGGCGAGCCAGGTCGGCCGGGACCTTATGGCGGTGGTGGCGGAGGAGGCGGCGGTCCAACTGGCGGTAGAGGTGGAGATGGTGGATGGGGTGGCCAAGGTGGCTTAGGTGGCCCTGGTGGCCCTGGTGGCTCTGGTGGCGGTCAGCCAGGTCAACCTGGACAACCTGGTGGCTGGGGAGGTACTGGTGGTAATGGAGGCGGTGGTGGGGCCTACGGCGGAAGGGGAGGGCAGGGTGGCTATGGCGGTGGTCGGTCAGGGCAACCTGGGGAACCTGGTGGCAATGGCGGCGGTGGCGGAGCTTACGGCGGAAGAGGAGGGCAGGGTGGCTATGGGGGTGGTCAACCAGGCCAACCTGGGCAACCTGGTGGCTGGGGAGGAGGAGGCGGCTATGGCGGCAATGGCGGCGGTGGTGGTGGCAATGGCGGTGGCGGTGGTGGCAATGGCGGCGGTGGTGGCGGTGGCAATGGTGGGCAAGGAGGTGGACCTGGTCAACCAGGACAACCGGGACAACCAGGTTATGATTATTAAGCAATTAAAATAACCCTGCTCACAGAAATATTTCGCTAAATACTAAAACTGTTCACTTTACATTGCTTAATAAATGGTATACAAATTTTTTTTACTCCAACTTTTTACAAATCCATGTGTTTTCGATTTCTACCGGCTCGGATTCATTTAACGGTAGTGAAGCAGTAACGTAGCCTAACGGCTGAAAATTCTAATGAAAAATTAAGGAAAAGCAACGAAAACTTCCATCCAATATGCTCGATAAATGTGTAAAGCTTTTGGCAAAAGACTTCTGTTTAAGGCGCTTGAAATTTTTCCGTAGCGTGAAGACTCATCGCAAGCAATCAGTTGATGTGGCTGGATATAAAAATTTGATTTTTATCTACGTACTTTTTTCTCACAAGAAAATTCCTTCTAAATGGTTCCTTAAATTCTTCTCAAGTTCTTCTATTTTTAAGTTAAAACAGATCGTGTTTAATGGCTTCAACTGCTACCTTTTGCAAGCTTTTAAGAGTTTATGTATCTAGAGCATAGGTTTTCATCGCTAAACATTCCATGTTTTGGTTTTCGGTGAAGTCGTCCTTATCATCTTTCGAAGTGCATAAAATCTGGAAGTTAATTAAACATTTGTCTCCAAAGACATTGCCACAATGATTCACTTCTTATCTCAGATGCTTATGACTGCTTTCCGTTGCCTATTGGATATTCAATGTCATTTCGTTGTCTGCTTTAAGATCAAGTGAGTTTTCAGTTCTTTCGTTCGCAATTGAAACGTGACTCACGTTGATTAAAATAATTTGAAGAGCAAATTAGGCATTTATTGTCAATTGCAGCCATTGGCATTCTATTTATACCCTACACCATTTGTGGTACAGGGTATATTAATTTACTGCGGTCGTAGGTAACACGCAGAAGGGCTTAAGATAGACCCATCTTTTATTATATCGATCGATTCAGAGCCATAATCTTAATTGATCTAAGCCTGTCTGTCCGTATGTCCGTCTGATATCTGTCTACGTAAATTTGTGTTCAACCTACAAATCGCAATTTTTGAGATATTTAGATAAGGACAAACGCTATTGAAAATGGTTCGGATCGGTACACCTTTTCGGAAAATTGTAATTTTCCAAATTTCTCGGCAAAAGTGGCTAAGAAATAGTATTTTGCCATTCTAAATTGGTATGAAAATTTTGGACCCGCTAGGGCAATTTTCGAACACCTTTTTACAAAAACGAAAAAACTTAACTATATCAAATTTAGGCCATCCCAACCCATTTTTTTTTTTCATCCTACTCTAATAAGGATTTTCACGAAAATTGATCCTTTGTAGAGGGAAAAGTTTAACTATGTGATGATGAAAATCGACCTATAATATTATAGTAATTTCATAAAGAAATGAACTCTGCAAACTTTGGATCATCTACACCTATTTTGGAATACTGCCGTATGTAAGGATTAAACTTGTACTACATTAGGTTACGGTTTGGGCCCGCTTCTCCATAAGTATGCACATGAAAAAAATGCCTTTATACAGGGAGAAAATATAATTTTTGTGTTCTACAATAAAAACAACATTTGTATTAGGCAATGTAGTGTAGGGTATTTAACGTTATTATAACGTTCTCATTTCTTTTTGGATCGAATGATTCGAATCAGTTCATTGATCTATATTAAGTTTCGAAACGATCTCTGATGCGGTCAAATATCAATCGGATTCAAATAAGGCTAACACTTGATCTCGAAATATTTGCGAACGAGATCTGTTGAAATCTCTTTAGTCCATTGTCCATCCGTTAAGTAGTGTCAAGAGTCTTATGGATTTTGACTAAGAGCATGTAAAAAATTCTTAACTGATTTGGTAAAATAAGTAAAAGCATTATAGTCGGGCAATGCCGATCGTTAAATATCCTACCTACACAATCCCTCCTAATGCAATTATTCATTCATTTTTTTTTTTTTTTTTTTGATAACACAAATAAAATTTTAAATTTGCATTCACACTTCTCTTGAAGGCTTTCCACATATCGACTTGCTTGCCTAATGAAAGCTTACTTTCCCTTACAACCGTTTTATGTAGATACAGTCTACAAAATAGACTTTGATAGTTAAGTTCTATATCAAATTGCTGCCATGAACTAAATTTTTTGATGAAATATTAAAAATTCGATCTTCTAACTACGTACGGATATATTTTTCTTAACACGGGCTCCAAAAATTTGCTTCCTCTTTCCTAATCTTTCTCATATATATTTAATATGCCAAGATACTAATACCCAATGATTTTTGTAAGGACATTATGAGAATTGCAAAATTTTTAATACAAGTACTTTTTCAAAACAAGGCTGCGTAGGATTCGTTCCTCGGTCAAAGCTCGCCAGCGTAGTAAATTTCAGTAAAATATCTCAAAAATTGTGTTTGGTAAGTTGAGCACAACTATACATGGGCAAAGGATATTGGGCAAATAAACAGAGAGAGAGAGAGAGAGAGAGAGAGAGGATTCTGAATCGGTCAGTGTAATGAAAGTTTAGCTTAAGTTCTTGTCGGTTTTACACGGATCTACACAAACATTTCTATCTACTTTAACAAAAGTGCTATTCGTTCTTTCAAAAACGATTTAATTGAAAACTTTCATAATAGTTTTCATGCGTGAATGTTAAAAGCAACTATCGTGCCCTACGATTCATTGCATATAAAACAACGGATACAACATATAGTAAAGCATGGTATTCGAATTTCGGATATCACTTTTCATATTTGACGAAATTTGTTATCTAAAAGCGTGCAATAATAATTCTTGAAGTTTTAGCTTAGCTTTGCCCGTTGAACTCTTGAAAAATGAGACGTTCGCTTAATACATTAAGGGAATTAATAATGGGAAGCTATATATTTAATTGAATTGAGAATTTTTCTTTCGAATTTGTCCAGAGGAGATTTTAAGTTAAATTCAAAGTATTCTACGCATTCCCACTATTTTTGTTAAATTAAAAAGAGATAAAAATGTTTACAACTTTCTTGATACTCAAAAAGCTCTTTATGTTTCCGACTATTATTGCAATGCGATAACCGGCTTTTTTTTTCATTCAAACCTAATTTTATGAAAATAACAAAACGTTTGGACGGTTTTATGAACAAAATATTTAATTAGTTAACAAATAAACGGAGAAACGTTAAGATGAATTCTGTTCTACTGATTCTCGCAGTTACTGTGAGTCATGTTTTACTAATGAGTGCAGGTAAGCGTTTCGTTATCACCTTAGAAGCCTGAATTAAAACGCAGTTGTTAAAACAAACCAGTAAAATGACACATTAACAACAATATCAACCGTAAGCCGATAAAAAAAAAAAAAAAAATAAGAAAAAAAAACAAAAAACTTGAAACATATGTACGAAATTATCATAAACATTTGAAATGAGATGTTGTCTTTGATCGCAGGTCAAGGTCAAGGCCAAGGTGGGTGGGGAGGCCAACCGGGGCAACCAGGGCAACCTGGTCAACCTGGTTACCCAGGTTCCAATAATCAAGCCGATGATCGATATCATTACGGCCATGGAGGAGTTGATGTCAATGGTCGCCCTTATGGTGGTATGGGCGGTAATGGTGGCGGCTACAATTTTAATATGACAAACGACGGACACGGTCATATGTACGACATGCACAGTGGTGGTGGCGGTGCTGGTGGACAAGGCGGCTTCCCTGGTCAACCAGGGCAACCAGGTCAATCAGGTGGTGGCTACAATTACGGTCGTAATCCCTCTCATAGCGGTCATAGCGGTTCCTCCCGGGTCACTTCGTGGACTTTCTCCTGCTTTTTATTTAACGTAGTTACTTGCTTTGTTTTAGTAAATTTCAAGTCATGAATTGAGTCATCCTCACGAACAAGGTGAGGTCATTTTAAATCTAATTAATATTTATAAAAATACATATATGTGTGTGCCTTTCGAAATGGCTTAATTGCAAAATTTTCTCTTAATTAAAATAAAATTCCAATTAGCTAACAAGAAAGAGTGAAGTTAATTCCGGCTGCGACTTAATAGTTGCAAAAAAGAAAACAAAAAAAAAAAACAAAAAAAAAATGCACAAAATATCTTTAAGATCGTTTTAAAAGTTTTCTTTAATGTATGAACACATTTCTAAGAATATTTTTTTTAACATATTTACATCACTGCTAGGATATGTTAATAGTTGTTAGCAGTTGATGTTACTCTTAATTTTTAATTTACTCCGAATTTTAATCCTGAAAGAGAATCTCCTATGATCGTACCATTGATAAATTGTGTACAGTGTACATGTATCCTTTCATTGAGGATGTAATTCGTTTTGTCGCAACCACAAGGATTCCACATTCGATACATCTCTCACCCACTCTCTCTACCTATGGGTCGCGAAAACTTGAAAGCGCCTCAAATAACGACAAATGAAAAGCAGGCAAGCCATGTACTAGAAGGTGTCATGCGTTGTTTGTCGTCATCTGAAGAACGGAAAGCTGACAACATGAAGTAAAGGTTTTCGTGATGCCTAGCCATATTCACATCTTACTTCTGAGCACCTATCCAATCACTCTCACATACTGCGTGACTTTGATGGGCATAAGTGCAGGTTTTCCGGTCGACTGTTTGTCATTTCGTTCGCAGTCAGTCCTTTTCGCAAATTGTTTTCGTAGTTTAAGCATTTTTCAACATCTCCTTAAGAGATGCTTAAGCTAAAAACAGACTTCCGATCGTTACGTCCCGCCTTACAAGTAACAGGCAAAAAATTCAGAATAAAATAAATTTTGTCCAAACCAAGCGTTCAGGTTTTCTTTTTGAAGCCGACTTTTTCCATTTTTGTCGCTAATCAGTATTCTGATCTTACTATACATCATTATTACTGGCTTGATGATCGTAACAACTAATGCCAGAATATCTTCTCTATTCTGTCAGTCTTTCCAAGGCGAAAGTGTTTGTTGACATTTGAAAACATCATGTCATCATTTGTTTGCCGATGGGCGTAACTTAGTCTTTCCAAGGAAAGTCCATTCAGTGCAAATCCTAATATAGATGCGATTAAATGCCAATTCAAGCCTTAAAACGTAAAATTCAATTTGACTTAATCATGCACCCAGTCATATGGGACAAAAAGGCTCTCTGATAAGCAGAAGATTTATCACTTGATAGCTCTGCTCAGAAATCAATCAAAGGTGTTTTCTGCAGTTATAATACAAAGGTAGTGAGGAAAGAGTGGGAAGTCACAAAAGCACCGAAAAAAAACGCGCCAGTTACTTGAGGTAAATTTTTTCATCAATAGTGTTTTTTCATTATATATAAATAGTTACTTTATTCAAGTTTTTATTTTATCGAAATATAAAAAAAACGAAATTTCGTTATTATTAATGACTTTTCTTTATGTTAACGATACAATTAATAAATCAAATTTAATTTGTGAGCCTTTAGTTCATCCGCTATACATTTGTTAATTTGATTGGCAGCTTCGCAAGGCTCTCTGGCGTTAATAGCATGATTACAGTTACTGGCAGTAGCCGCAGCCATTGATATAAGCAAAGGATTCTCATTGGAAATCATACCAGCTATATGCGATATGGTGGGAACCGATAATTTATAGTCCGAATCCATCTTGCGTGTTTACAGAAAAATTCTTGTCTTTACTTAATTGCATTCATTATATAAAACTATTACTACTATACTATACCAGTTTCATTCTTTTTAGAATACAAGCCATTAAGCATTTCTCCCTTAATGAAGGCTGATCTTCGTGCATTAACAACTTATTGGAATCTACTCTTGGAATCATTGCGTTCGCACATTTGAATTTCACTTCATTTAGCGTTTCCTGAAATTGTTGCATATTTTTAGGTATTTCGCTAATTGGCATTTGTTTTTGATTAACAGGAGATGATGCGAAATTAAACGCAGGCTTAAGTTGTTGTTGTTGATATTGTGATGGTGCAAATATCTTGCCCTCAAGTAAATCAATTACCTTAATGAAGAGAAATTTAATTCAATTATTTTATATTTTATCGACGACTACTACTTACATTTTTACTTTCAATAGTATGCATAAAGCAAATCGAAGACATTAACTTAAATATGATATGAAATCTCATTTTCTTTTCACAATCTATTTTCAATCGCAATTAAGTGTTCGTTTGTTCTATGTGATTTTCTTTCGATGATTGCTCTGAGCTTTTATACATAAAGATTGCAATATCAAAATATGATGATTTCAACATTTTAGTTAAGGTTAAAATCTTAACTGAGGTTAAATTTTCTTAAGCAGCGAATTAAAAAAAAATATTATAATAAAGAAAAATATGTTTAGTCAACACATTCAGACACGGTTTGTTGAAACGAATTTAGAAATAAGTAAACAAAAGTGGCCTCGCGATAGAATGAATTTTCGAAGTTCAATGCTTCAAAGGCTTTTTGCAAATTATTTTACTAATCGCATAGGTATGTAAGTTAATGGAGTTATCAGGGCGTTAAAAATCTGTACCCATCCACTAGACAGATAATGGAATTATATACATACGTTAGCCATATACATGTTTCTGCCCAGCTCAGTATAGACACGTGTTCGGCTTAGCCAGCGGGATAAACAATTCCCATATGACCGCATCATTCTCTATTCCATTTACTTTGCGTATTAATAAATTTTGTGTAGTCATTTCGCAACTAGCACCTTTGAAAACCGGAAAGATAACAAAAAAAACAGGGATGTCAAATATCAGAAAGAAAGCATAGAACTAGCCTGATAGAGCTGTTTCGATCTTTGCAACATGAACTCATAATTCTACGAACATTAAATTTTTCCAATTTTAAACCATTTCGTATTGATCACTAAATTGATATCTTTGCCGTACTGTGTATCTGATTTGTGACATATGCAGCCGATATTTCTAATTAAAATTATTTTCGTAGTCTTTACTCACGACGGAAAGAGGACCGAGCAAAATATTTGTCATATCCATTATTTAAGGTGAACAGATGAATGCTGGTTTTTTAGTTAATTGAAATTATTTTCATAACGTGTTTATTTATACCTACCCTGAGACCGATCAGCACGAGGATTTCTACAAGAAATTATTCAAATTTTAATTACATTCTTAAGGCCGTGCCTTTTAGACATTTTCTTATGCGCGATTTTAATGTAAACTTTTTTGAAATTCCTTCTAGCAGATGAGAAATTGATGAAACGTAAATAGATCAATAAAGAAACGAGCGAACAGGCGTTGAAAAGGAAAGACAGACGAGCAAAGATGTAGAAGAACAGTGAGAAACTAAATTATGAATGAATAGAAATGCAGTTGGGTAAGTGGATAGTGTCGATCAAGGTATAGTTTTCTTAATGTTAGAAGAGTAAAAATCAATTTAATATGATCGTCATAGCGAGAGAGAGATATTAATTCTTTATGCTTGACTATAAACTCGCGAGTATTTTCTGGCTTAAAAAAGCAAGCTTCATTTCAAGATAATTGCAAATGTTATAGTCGGGCCCTTATCTTCGTCATAAAATAACAAAAAATAATTCTTGTGGCGATATCAAGGCGTATTACTTACGGGACGGGGTCTTTAACTTCGTTGATTCGACCTTCGTACTGTGTATTCGAGAAATTTTAGAAATGTGGCAAACTTAGTGAAGAAATGGCTCGATGCAATCCATTTTAAACAAAATGGATTCAAGACCCATAAAACGACGATGTGCAGATTGAACGTAATTAACACATAGACAGGCATGGAATTAACTGAAAGGATGACTCTAGCATATCCGCCGCCATGTATATATAAGACATAAATATAGTATAGATGTGAAGATGTGAAGCCTTAATAAAACATATATCTCTTAAAAACCGTTAGATTGAGTTATATAATTAAAATTTGAAAGATTCGTGCACGAACGAAATGAAGGATTCCCTAAAAGTAAAGACATTTTGATTTTTCTTCTCCACATCCCCATCCCGGTCCCCATCCGCATCACACCTCTAAGGTCTGAAATCTTCAGTAAGAAGATAATCCAATTTTCCTTCTCATTAAGAAATCAGTTTAGAGCTGATGCTGATATTAGAAATCATCTGTAGATGTTATGTAAACCATTCATTACCACACCATAAGAAAGGAAAATCTTTATTCACATTATTTAATATATTAACTAACTTAATAAATAATTTTTAAAGAAGGCCACGGACTAAATCCCAGCAAAGATTACACCTAAAGTAAATCATTTTAAGAAGAATTTTTAAGAGTGGAAAACTGCCACGACAAGAATGATGATACTAATGCAAAGCGTGGAGAACGCCAAACACATCGTTACTTAATTTAATAGGGCGTATGAGCGTATGAATTTTGGAAATCATTCCTTGACTTCGGGTACCTTAAAGCCCTTCTCCTTGAGCTGGCTCAAAATGCACATACCATGCTGATGGGCATTTTCGCATCTAGAAAGTAAAATGTTTTCATGAAATTTGTTATTTTGCAAAAAAAAAACAAAAAAACAAAAAAACAAAATTGTTAAGATCATACTTTTCAGTAGTGGCTCCATTTTTCGTATTGCAATGATCGACAATTTCTTCCATTGCTTCCTTATTATCTGCATACATCATACCCATCATATCGACAACTTTATCTTTATTCATTTGTGACTGACCCTCGTCGATCTAGAAGTGAATACAAGATCAAAAATTAGACCTGGTAGAGATAGTATTACTTATTACGCTTACCAACTCAAATTGTTCCATTAAACAGCGACGGAAACATTTCGAATTCTCATGAGGATTCTCGTCATTAGTTAATAACTGTTTAATATGATCTGCAAGAGAGAGAGAGAGAGAGAGAGAGAGAGAGAGAGGGAGTAATAAACACTGAAGTAAATGAAAGTTCTTTATCCATACAAAAACGGTCTCATAAACCCGCAGAAAGGAATTCGATTCCAATAATGTATTTTCGAAATTTTAAATATTTAAAAAAATAATTTCTAAATATGTATAAGATGTGCATACTTTTAGGAGACGAGATTTTCAAGAACATAAAAATAACTTTTTATATCCATTACCGAAGGATGAGGAATAAAAACATTTTGCCGAGAATGTTTGCCACGCCCAAAAGGAAACTTCGAAGACCCTATATTCATGTATATATTCATGATCAGTTCGTGATTCATGATCGGTTGAAAACATTCCCCTGGTCCCAGGCTAAAAGGAGCTATCGACTTCAAATTTGGCAGAAACATTAAAAATTCTTGCACGCAGATTGATAATGAAAATGGGTCAAATTGCTCGAAGGATACGTCTACTGCACTCCGTAGGGTAAGATCATCCCTGTTTTTCAAAAGGGATAAACTATTGATTTTTTCCTCCTTACTCATGAAATCTAGCTGACAAATGTACAAAGACTTGCACGTATATTCTATGGGCAATGATGTAGTAGCTGTGCATACTTAAAACAAAAATTGACCACGCCTGGTTTTTTCTCTATATCCAAAATTGATTTGCTTTACTCCTTCTGCCTTTTTTAGGATAACAGTGACGGGTATAAAAGATTCGGTCATGAGCGGATATAAGTTTTTTACTTGGTTAGTTTACAATCGATCAGAATTCCTTAACAATGCAAAGTTTTCGTGGCCGAAATAGGCTCGCGGATAGCACCTAACCATGTGTACCTTGTATATCTTATCATATTCTGTAGCTTTCATAGGCATTTTAATAGTATGCCACACGTAGACGAGCAAGCGGATGATCATGTCTGTAAGCAGCAGGACATTTTCTATGGTACTGCCCACCTTGCTTCTACAGCGAATGCAAAGCTTCAAATCTATACACTTTGTTTTGAAATTGTTTTGAAATTCAGCTAAATAAAAACTGATTAAAAATTTATGAAATCCATAAGCCCCAACCGCCGATAGTGGACCGAAAATTGTAAACGATGAAAATGTGAAATATTTTCAAATCTGATGCACAATATGTTTGCATAAAATTTAAGCGATTTTCACAAATCAGATAATTAACGTCGAATGCTTGTCGTGAAGAGCTGTCCGCCTTGTCGTCATAGAGTAAACAATGGCTGTGGTTTATATGCTTAAAGGACATTAAGAAAAATTGTTTTCATGCTGGATGGACAAATATATAATAAGCAATGCTTAATATGCAATACTGACCTCTCTCAGGCTTGGGTTCGCAGTCCTCCGCAAATGATTCCAAAGCATCGGCCAACTCATCCAAAGTCATCCCAATTTCGTTTTCGTCATCGTCCTCGGCCTGCGAAACACAAAACACTCCATCTTAAAAGCCTTTCTATATATATATATATATATATATATATATATATATATATACATGTATATGCTTAGTTAATACAGATATTCTTACATTTGTTACCACCATTGTAATGCTAAATAAAGCGAATAAAACAAAAATTTCGAAATATTTCATCATCACTTTTATCGCCTTGATATTTTCGCACTTAATGTCAACACTTTATCGCAAAAATTTATTACAAAGAAAAACGAAATGTTTTCGGGAAATTTTAAAAAAAAAAAAAATTTTTTTTTTTTAGTTTCAATTTTTTCTATATTAACTTTTCAAATTTCATTGTCCGGCAATTGATTTTCAAACACGTTCAACTTTCTTATGGGAAATTATTTAAATTTTCAGTCCATTTTATAGATAGAAAGCATATTTAGAAAAAAATTATTTGCTTCTTTCTTTTTGTTTTTTATTTTTGAATTTCCTGTTTATTACAAACAAATCCATGTCACGCTTGTAAATATCTCATCAGATATCTTTCTTTCTTTTTTTTTTTTTTTTTGACTTCATGTTAATATAACGGAAATGTAAATTGAAACTTGTAACGGAAAGCATGAACAAATATATGGATCGACAAGTATCTTCGGTGAAATAAAACTTTTGCAAAACCTTTTTGCTTCATCGTTTATAGAATAGGGTTCTTATCACATAAGGACTTAACTCTAAATATCATACGTCATTTGTAGCTTGGCAATTTAATATTGCTTTACCTAAATTAGTTAGTTTTCGGACGAACTCTTTGGCGAACTTAGAAAGAGTCGTCTGCATACAATCCTTCAACGCGATAAGGTCTTTGTGTCACGTGATCTGTCACATGCATTAGACGCTGTCTTATTTGAAATCAAAAAACAAAAGCCCGTCACGATCATTCGCTAGCAGTCGTTCCATTCTATGTAACGGTTATACTAGCTGCATTTTAGTGTAATTAGAGTCCGATTAAACGTGAACGAACTATAAAACACACCAAACACTTACCCACTGTATTTAACGAAGTTATTCGATCATTCGTCTTGAGTTTCACAGCCGCGAATACGACAATTTACGTTTTCGAACAAACCAAACCAAACAAGCACCAATTCTTAGAAGGACATCTCCTTGTTCATTCGAATATATTTGGAAAATTTCGTAAATGTCATATCACAAATGTCATCGAAATGACAATTGTATGTTGATAGGCGAAAAGTTGCGCCAAGCCTAAAATGACAGACACAATATATGTAGAAATCATATCATAACTGAAAGAGTCATGTCCTTTGGTAGCTTTGTGATTTGGTAAATTTGGAAAAAAAAACCTTTGCACTCGTTTCAGATTTTTTTACCTTACGAAATTTAATTTTTAATAACTTGACCCTGGCATAATGAAAGCCATTCCAAAGCAATCCCTTTATCGTATTCGATTGTTATTAGTTCAATCAATTTGGAAGAAGAAGAATTGAATAAATCAATAGTATTAAGTGAAAAACTGTACACTGATATTTCCCATTTATTTATCATTTTTATCTGTAGAGATTACTGAGCAACATTTTTGATGAACACCTAATATAAGCTGGCTGCGCTCACGTCTCTAAAGTAGTTATTGCAGTTATTAGCTGCACATGATTATTTATTATCGATGATAACAAGTTTGGCATTATATCTAAACTCTAGAAATAGATAACAAAGGTTAAATGATTCATTCATACTCATAGTTATGTTATAGGAATAGCGAAATATGTCCATCTGTCCACTACGAAACGAAGTATTAGATCAAGGGAAAATTTCCTGGCATTTTTTTCATCAAAATTCGAAAACAGTTTTCTTTTATTTTTTTTTTTTTAATGAACTTTTTTTAACTAAATGCGTGATACTTGCGTGATTTTATAAATCCATGAAACTTTATCGCTTTGGTCGAATTGTGATATCGTAAAATAAAGCGCCTTACACTCTTGTATGATACGCACAGTATAGGTTGGTATCGGCGCGAAACTCAATATTTTATATAATATTCTAGAAGGTGATTTTAAATTCTTAATTTTCAATTAAATTAATTTAAAACAAAATAAATAAATAAAATAATTAGCGCTTAATTAGCGAAAATGTTATAATTAATAACTTAATTTGCAGTCTGTCCATATATGCTGCGTTATGTTACCGAGTTATAATATTAAATGCTTATGCCTACAGCCCTGCAATTATATAATACATACCCATTGAAATATTTTCCCGATAGAACCGCAATACTATGCTAAAGAATTGAAAAACCAAGAAGAAGTTACCTATATTCGGTCTCGATCGATAATTAGTTCATATACGATATTTAACAGCAAGATAGAATGAGATAGAGGAACTCTATACGATATATAGCACATATCGTAAAACGAAGATAATAATGATAGTAATAATAATAAATCAGTTACAACTACTGCTTCATAGGTGGCTTAACATTACATTAAATGTCACATTCATATGCAGTACATACGCAAAAATCTCACATACACATATGAATTATTGCGAATTGTCTGTGATAAGGAAAGTTTGTATTAGAGATCGAAAAGTTTTGCGGGCATAGTCAAGATTTTAATAAACGGGCAGACAAGCGCAATGCATTTATACACGTTGATCGCGGCTAATTGGCGTATACTATAGTTAGCCTTGTTTCCTGTAACTGAGCATTCGGAGAAAATAGCAAAAACGCTATTGTTCTAATTCTTACGGCAGCGCCATTAAAGGTAGCTTTACGATCTCTCTAACGATTACGAAAAATCCTGCATATGAATATTTCCCGAGCACTTCCGATCAACTCAGCTAGTTGAGGGTATCTGTCATTTAAGCATTATCTACAATTGGTTTACCCAATTTCATACCTTGAAGTCTTTTTTCTTCGAAATTTCGATTTCTATTCTTTACCGTGCTACGTGCACGTAGCAGACGCGACGATGACGCCAGGTTAGATTTGGAGAACTCTTACATTGACAACTAAATTGCGACACAACAAACAATTTATTAGACTATCTTTCAAATATATCAATAAGAGCGGTCTCGTAATGGTATCAATAATGAGAAGTAATCAAATCTTGGAAAGATTCCCGAAAGAAATAAAGACAAGAACGGCAGATAATTGTAAGCAGAATTGCTGCGAACAGTCAGACTAGAAGATAATTTGTTAAGATGAAATTTTGTGTTTACCTGAGAGTAGAGAAAAGAAAGGCCATTATCGAAGACTGGCTAAGTCTATTTATCTGAAGACGAAGTGTCGATCAATTGAAGAAGGCCATTACATCAGTAAGATATACGAGCAGTCGACCAATATTACGACATACTAACATTATTATGAGCGTGAGTGTGTATATGCATGTAGTCATCGTGTGATTTACATTTTATTTAATTAATTGTTCAATTTTCTTTTTATAAAAGCTTAATAATATGTTAGGTCATATTGAAAATTCTTCGCAATTTTTTCCAGTTAGGGTTAGTGTTGATGCCTCACTTAAATATTTTTTTGTGTAGTAACCTTTATTGATTTGAAAATCAGTGAAATAACTGAAGAAATACGCTATGTGATGATTTTTTACTATAAAAAAAAAAAAAAAAAGTTGAAAACGCTGCAAAGAAAACAAAAAAAAAAAACCTAATGAAGTGTACGGTGAGAATGCTGTGAGTGAACGAACGACCCACAAATGGTTTGCCATATTCCATTATGGAAATTTCGATTTGAAAAATGCATCTCGCAATTACTGAAAAAGCCGATGACCTTTTTGAACTGGTTTGGCAAGATCAGGAAAAAAGCTGCCAGCAAATAGCGGACAAAAGGGCAGATTACAAAAAGGAGTTTGAAAGCGCGGAAAAAACTGCGAACACTTTTCAATATGACCTAATACTTAATCAGTAACTGAACATCGTTAACATGTCTAAAATAACATTACAAGTCCCCAATTACAACAATTTCAATATTAAAGTCCACGTAATACAAGATCTTTAACGAAAATAGCGTGCCTTTGCATTAACATAAGCATTTCCCGTTAGGCAGCATCCCATTGTTTATGTCCATCGCCTACGGATCGGGGCGTAGGCATTTTATCAATACATTTGCCCATAACGCCCGGAAGGGAATTTCCAATATCACACAAGCATATTTGTCTGTCCGTCTGTATGATGTCTATTGAGAATATTCTTGTGACGATTCTTGTGTAAATATGAAGCAGTTGAGTTTAAATTGGGCAGAAAGATTGAAAGTCCCTCCACGCAGCTTGGTATTGGTGGGGACACGCTTACGGTATCACGTAAATTGAGAACACCTCTGCTTTTCAAAAGGAATAAAAAAAATTGGTTTTTTGCTTAATACACTTAAACTATGAAATGCCTATGCTATGGGCGATGGTGTAATCGACACCTACCGAACAATATTGCAAAAACAAAAGAAAAAACAAAACAATTGACCACATCAACCCAATAACATAGTGTTGCATTTCCTTTTTTTTTTTTGCCAAAACCCTTCAAACATCCCCTAAAAGCCTGTCCGTCTGTGCAATTGTGTAGTATCTGTGATAAGCATTCTCTAGCGCATTAGCGAAAATGAACAAATCGTCAACAAATTTGCAAAAGAATTTGAAAGTGAATGAAACTTTTCAAAGTCCGCACCTCTAGGACAGGATCACGAAGGTAACTAATTTTCTTACTCGTTATTTTTAACTTTAATTAAGTCCGGAGCTTAATGCTCAACACGACTATGCTCTCTGCCGGCTTAGCTCTAACGAACTGGAAATTTTAATTGTTTGTAGCTTTTTCGTATATCGGGTGTGGATAAATTAATGCCAGCGTTTTTATGAACGAAGAAGGGGCTGACTTCAAGAGGATGGTATGGCGGAAATGTATCGTTCAAAGCTTTGTTATTGGTTTCACGCTTGTAAAGAATATGAAGGACGAGGTACTTGATCCTTTCAGGCAAATTTCTGGATACCCTTATTAGACGCTCAGCAAGCGTTGCTAAAACAGAAAATATGCCATCGGTACGATGAAGGGAGCATTTCCTGATTTCCAGATTTGACAATATGAAGCCAATCATCATTCTTTTGGAAAATTCATTCATATAATGGTTTTTCGTATCTTGCAACCATTTTCCTGTTAACAATAATCGTGCAACTGTATCAGGCGCAGCCTGCTACTCTATTTTCGGTAGTATCAGCTGGGAGTAGGATATTTACAAATTTCTAAAGCAACATATCGCCAAACACTGGCAAACCTTATAAGCAATTGTTCTTTCAGTTAAAGAATTTCAAATGTAAACAATACAAAACAAAAAGACACAAAACTCGGATGCAAGATGAACTTTTTGCATTAAATGCAATTAAATTGTTTGTAGTGCTGGTCAACTATCTTTAGAAAATTAGATGCGTCTTGGACAATGCCAATAAGATAAGATAGTGCCGTCTATTATGAGATTCGACTAAAGATGAGTATTTTTTTATTTTTTATTTTTTTATCTAACGTAGCGGATTGAGGCGAGTGGTTAAAGTCATCTTGACAGGGCATATGGGGTTTCGATTGGCCCCTTTATTTAGATGATTATCTGATATATATATATATATATATATATATATTGTTATAGCGATTCTCGAGGAAAATGTATGAAAGTTCGACGCCTAAGCTCGATCGTAATGTGCCCTTGTTTTTGCAAAAGTTTCGTGCTCTCGCTTGTATCAGATATAAACTAATATTGAAAGCACAATCAATTATATAATGTTTGTAAATGACACGCATGCATATAATTTATGATATCATTCATGCATCAAATTAATGGAAATTAATATTAAAGTACAGCATGCAGGTCATTAGATGCACGATGCATGATTGCACATTTATAAAAGAAAAAAAAAAAAAAAAAAAAAAAAAAATTTATTTTTCAATTTCAAAATTCGCCGTAAATCATGTAAACGCCTTTCAATTATTCAATAAGCTGCCCTCCCCCCTTTCTTGTTATTGGTTTTCCCGATTAGAAATGCTATCATTTCGCTAATGAAGTAATTTACATATTTATTTTATTTAACATTAAGTGATTTTTTATTTAAAATATAAAATAAAACATTAAAAAGAAAAAAGAATAAGAACAATGAAAAATATAAGAGAAAATTTAAGGGAAAACGAATTTTGTGATCTCCGAACGCAAACAAGTCAAAACGGCATAGGCTGCATCACAATTATTCTTGATACCATTTGCGGAATCTTTGCATTTAGCCAAACCTGGACGATACTCATCTTTATATGAATCGGGCATTAATAAATCTACTTGCTTTAAAGCGCCTTCATAAAGGAACTTGCCCTTCTTCATCTATCCCATATCACGTACGCCGCAAAATACAAATAAGAAAAAATTATTATCTATCCGATCAAAATCGATAACAAAATTGTTGAGCGTACCGTTTGCATCATTTCCATAATACAATTTATATAACATTTTGCATCCTTGTTATCAGGTAGATTACCATTACGTATCTCATCCGCCGTCTCTATTTAAGAAAATGCTAATCAACTTGTTTCTTAAAGTGATTCATTCATTCGCCTAATTAGTTAGTTACCTTTGTTCACTTTTGGAAATTTCGGCAAACAAACATCGCGCATCAAATTTGCAGCGGATCTCATCTGTTCTTCGGTAGCCTAAAATTTTCGAAAAACCCGGGAAAATACCATTAAACAATCTTAATAAAGTGGTGTTGAAGTCTTCTTCTTCTTCTTTTTCTTATTCTTCTTCTTCTTGAACCGGCATTTGAACTGAGCTGAAACTTTATCAAAGGACGGCGAACCGTAGACTTTGCCTAATAAGACTATTGAACGAAGCAAAAAGAAAAACCTTAATGAAAGGACTTCATCCTCGATATTGATGTCACCTAAGAGATCGTCAAGGTAAAGGGTATTCAATTCACCCTTAAAAGCCGGAATGAATTGGTGGGAGGAGAGAAAGAAGAGCTATTTGTGGATTTTTTTTTTTTTCAACCTAGTATTCAATAAGAATTAGGTGAAAACTACGGAAACCCATGAATCTTAAAAATCCATCATTCGATAAACGTACAAAATTTGTTGATAATTTATTCCTTTACTAGATTTGGGACACCAGTACTTGTCACCCTGTCAACTGGCTTATCGAGACCATTTTTTGCGCTGAACGCTCAGACGCCGTCATTAGCTATTTATACGAGCTATGTTTATGCCTGTTGTCGCCCTTGAGTCAATCAATTGATACCATTTCGTTATTAGAAATTTAAAAAGAAAACATACTTGACTTGTCAAACGACATTAAAGGCATTTCGGTCACGGTAGATATAACGGACTTTTAAATACGCTCTTCTATCAAATGACCTTTAAATGGAATTTTCAAGATATGTTATTCTGAAATGAAATCGCCATAGAGATGCTTCAATCCGGGATTCACGCACAAGCATCAGAGAAACAGATAGATAGGCTGGACAAACAAAATCTGTGCTTATGCCAAGCGACGTATTCTTCATATTGCATTACCAGGTAAATAGCGTTAAAAAACAGGGATATAAGCATAAAAGCTTATACTCGAATTGAATACTTGAGTGAAATGCACGCAAAGCAATGTTTAATTTCTTGCTGCAAAGAACACAACAACAATTGATACATTTTTCGTATATGTAAGCAGGAATCGCGTTGCCATTATTAGCTAAACTACAAAGAGTATAGAGAGTGCAATGATAAAAATTGAAGAACAATACTTGGAACGAAAAGATCGAGACATAGATTAACAAATAGACAGCTGGGACAGCAGGACATTTTTTTATTCATTTCATTCAAGCTGAGTTCAAGATATCAAAAATGAATCGTATAACTGATAGTTTTTTATTTTTATTATTATTTTTTTTTTTTTTAAATATCCTGGTAAGGATACAATGCAGAGAAAAGCTTGACTTGATTATCTAATTTAAAAATTCCAAATATTAGACAACGTATGACCAATGACCAATGACCAATGATTGTAAGAGATTTATCATGCTTCTGGCTGAGCGATTCGTTCGTTGTGCTATTCGAAAAGCTTCAAAGAAATAGATTTGCGGACTAATGATGAAAAAGAAAATCCTATTTACCTTGCACCACTTGTCAACGTGGCAACGATTCATTTTAAGAGAAGTCGTTATGAAGTCACCTAGAGTGGTTAATAGGCATATAGGTATGTAGGTATATTTTCGCTTTCTTATGGACAATGCCTTCGTTTCAAATATATAAAAACACAAAAATGATTGCAATTGATTCGATTACGTAAAGGATAGACTAATCAAAATTGCAGCTTGTTCTTGATCTTGCAGAGTCAGTATCTTCTTCTACTATCCTAATGCTTCATGCAATTTGTTTCGTTATTATTTGTTCTTTCATTTTTATTTGAGTTTTGATTGATTGTTTCACTTACACCGCCATGAACATTAGCTGACTTATCAAGGCACACAAACACCAAGCACACGATAATAAGATTATTCGATATTTTGCCAAACATTTTTACCCTTCTTAACGTAACGACGGAAGGAAGGTACGTTCGAAAGACGCGTAAGTCAACTGTTTAATAAATTACTCGATAACTCGAAATGGCGAAAATCAATAAAAACATGAAACTTTTTATAGGAAACTTAACCCTAACTGAAATGATTGTTATTGCAATCGCTAAAGAAAGAAACGCAACAACAATAATAATAATAATGAATATGCATATTTTGCATACTCAAGACAATCAATCATACTTAAAACAATAACGACAGTTAATATTTTAAGCAAACTAATCATTATTAAAAATGAAGTGAAATGAAATGAAAGCAAATTGAATTGAAAATGAGAAAATGAGAATAGGAGAAAGCGAAATAGAATAATATTTAAATTAACAACCGCTTTCAACTAAAATGTCAACCTAATAATGACGATGATGATAAGGTGCTGAAAAATGCGAAAACATATAATTTTTCACTTAAGGTTTTAAAATCCCTTTTCAAAAACTGATCTTTATATCATTCTGATAATACGCCCACAATTAAAGCAAACACCGCCAATGCTTCACCGTAAATAATTGCCATTGCATGGTTGTGTATGTATGCCAGCTATGCGTTAAGATGACGGCACAACGACACATTCAACCAAGAAATTCTGTCTGGCTGTGTGTTAATAAAGCAAAGGCCTTGTTACGACTCATGATAATCATCGTGTAATAGCTTTGTTTCCAAATATAACCATATATAGCCCAAACTTATTAAAACAAATTTACACTCTGTGTTAGTTGATGGTAGTTGTCATTATCAGATGCAAAAAATTAACCCGCATGCCATGTAAGAACATTTATCCTAAAGGGATTCGAAGAATCTTTCCTTCCGTTTCACAACACTCTCTCTCGCTTCCTGTCTATCTGTCTGTCTGTCTGTCTGCCTTTCTCTTTCTTTCTTTCTTGCTCTCTCTCTCTCTTTCTCTATCTCTCTCTCTCTCTTTCTCTCTCTCTTTCTCTCTCTCTCTCTCTCTCTCTCTCTCTCTATCTATCTCTCTATTTATTTATTTCTATCTCTCTTAATATATGAAGAAAGTTATAAAAAGTGAAAAATGTTTAATAAACGCTTTTATATATATATGGTGCTAGCAAAACAAGGGAAACGCAACCCATTTCCAAAAGATTTTCGCCGTATGTGCCAAATTTCATCGAAATATCGGCAAAATTGGCAACATTTAGTTTAAACATGCACACAGACATTACTTAGACAGACGGACAGACAACCCAAGGTAATAAAGTGTGAGTCTATCTTAAGCTCTTCTGAGCATTGCATACACCTGCGAAAACATAATATGCTCTTAGTTGAACATTGAATGTAATAAATCTGGATAACTGAATATATCCAATAACTTGAATATTCTTCGGCCCCTTTCCACCATTTTCATCACCCTCTACAAGCAAATCATATGAAATCAGTCTATATTCATAGCTTGGTTATGACTGGATTTAACTACCTATACGATATGATCCTAAACAAACAGATATAAACATAGCGGTTTAGGATACTGAATGAGTACAGGAAGTTGAGATAGGATGGGATAATATTTTTCAACGATTTCGCTTAGAAAATTCTACTAAATATAAAAAACTTTTTTGCCCGAACAATCGTAGTAGTAATGACAGAATTTTTTAAATGATAATCAAGGTGAAGCGACGTAAAAGTCAGTCATCTTTCAAACTGCCCTCATTAACGATAGAAAGTTGTAAGGAAATTTAGATTCTATGCATACTTTCTTAGTGCTGATAACATCTTTTCTTCATCCCTTTCTTTTTGAAAATTTCAATTTTCATATCACGATGGGAAGCCAGAATAACGTTCAACTACTAAATTTTTTCACATTAAGGCCTAATGAGGAAGAAAGCCTATATTTGATAGCTGCATAGCAGAACCGATCGTGACGACAAGAACAATCCATTTGTAACATTGCTATATGCGGGCAAATTGAATTATTTGAAACTTTGAAGCGGGCCGCTGATTGCGCACGTCTGATTAAAGGAAACACCTCCGTCTTTGTTTCAACTTATCGAAAACTTTAATTTTTCGTGATAAGTTATAAAAACAAAATATCCGGATGGCACTTTTCTCGCTGATGATTAGCTTAGGCCATCTTGCGTCCCATAAATCTATTGCGACCATTATGAAGATTTTTCAGAAAAGCTTGTACACTTGTGAAAAGGCCTATGAGTCGCATTGTGATGATAATACATACTGAAGGCAAGCGATGCTTGAAAGCACCGGAACAGAAAAAGCTAGAACCTATCAGGCAAGAATATCCAAAGCGTTCACCGCCGAAGGACCGAGAGATTGTTATCCCAATTAGGTCAGAATGTTGTCTTACTCTACGTTCATTGGCGCAAATTCTCTTTTTCTATACAAGACATTTTGCTGATATATATATATATATATATATATATATATAAATCGATGAATGTAATAATAGTTTCCCAAATGCATGCAAGTCTATGGAAAGTTTTTGGCGACATCACGCAAAATAATTTGCAATGGTAGTGGACTGCAAAACGATATCATCTAAGGTATGATGCTAAGGTGATGGGAAGTAAAATTAGAAAGAGTAAATAGCCTGTAACCTTCTCCGCAGAGAAAAACTATATCATTATATAATTCCTTAAGCAAGCGCATACAAGTATTTTTCCTACTTTTCGTCATGTCGAACCGTATTAGGTAAAATAACGTCAACGATCTTCCACATCAAGCTTATTTGCATTAACAATGTCTTAAGTTTATTTATAGTTTCGTCAAGGTGCTCACGATGGAAATTCTCTTATGTATGACTTTCAATATAATCCAATCGAAATTCCAAAGCTATTCGATGACATATGTTAAATAATCCTTTTTATGCGAGTCTTCTACTAAATATATATCTGCAATTGTTTATATCCACGCAAAGAATCAATCTTCAGAAAATTTCTCAGTTGCTAATCTAAATTATTAGCAATGTCATTAACGAGTTTTTGCGTTTAATTTATTAAGTTTCGGACCTTCTTCATGATGTTTGATTGTAGGTTTAGTTATAGATGATAAAATTGTAGTTTTTAGGAGAATAAAAATAATACAAAAATTAAAAAAGCTTGTTTATTATTTAAATATTTTAAAAATTAATAATAATAATAAAAATATTAACAATTATACATACAAAAATTATGGTAAATAATAATCATGTGCATAAAATGCAACAACAAAATGCACACGATATTGCTTTTGCAGAAACAAAATACTTATGATCGTCTTTTTGAAATGTAAACAATCGCACGTGCATGTCAAATGTAAACAAAAAATTACAATTTGCAACAACAACTAAACACGATATCAGCTTTACAACAACAAAAGTTATATACAAAAATAATGTTTCTTTAACAGGGTTACAGGGTTACCATATCGGAGACTGTTCTCACTCTTTCAATATTTATATTTAATAGATTTACAAGACAACGTGAGAGAGGCAGTGAGAGAGAGAAAGATAGAGAGAGAGAGAGGTTGAAACAAAGGAACAGAACAAATATTTTTCCAATAACATTGCAATAAGAGTAAATAGATAATCAATAATGAAGTAAATAATTTACATCAATTTTCGTTATTTCGGTCTCTTGTTCGCATAGCATGTTTTTTTGACTTTGTTTGTTTCCATCTGATCGATCTGATATATAGGATGTGTAAATGTACATTTCTTCTCCGTCTTATCTCGTACGAAGAGTTTTTGTCTTTGCTTAGTCGCGCGCGAATCTTAGTCACAAACCAAGCGAAGAGGATTTATGAGAGAATTGCCATTATAATGCATTTAACGAAGCATACTTTTTGGCGACCAATTATTTACTCACAAATTATATCCCGTTACTGGCAAAATTAAGTTAAGAAATTACTACGTTATTGAGAGAATTGTGAAATTCTGTTTCGCCACATACCTGAGAGGATTTCTTTGATAATAATTTCTATTATTATTATTATTATTATTAATTTCGCCAGAGAAATAAATTCTAAGACTAAACTCTTAAAGCGCTACCATCTAAGGCTATCGGCTTTTATTAAAAACTCTACCGCACTTGAGATTCGAGAACCCACGACCAGTGAGTTGCTAGTCGAGATTCATCGCCTTCGGCCACTCAGGCGGTTGATAATAATTATTGCTGATATTGTTATTGTAAAATTATTTTTACTTTGATCAAAAACTTAAGTAATCGCTGTTTATACGAATTCTGAAAGAGAAGCAATCACGTTTAAAGTTTCTTGTTGCGAAAAAATGCACAAGATAATATATTGGAATATGTGGGCATCTTTTAATTACTATCACAACAGAGAATATTTACAGAAAGGATTGTATTGATATCTAAACTCATTCGCTTAACCGTTCACACTATTCTTTCTACTTTACGTTATTGTCCTTTGGTTTTATAAAAATTTTAAATTTTGTTTTCCATTCGCTGTTATTTGTTTGTGAAATGTTTCCGTTGTATTTAGCCGTCGTTGCTCTTAAGGAATTCACATTTTTTTGAAATAAGCGAAATTTTGTAATTTAATGGCAAATTCTCTTTCTCTCACGACAGTATATAGCTTTAAAAGAAAATACTTGCGAATAAATTAATATTTATTTTACATTTTTAATATAATTAAATACATACATACATACATATATATATATATATATATATATATATGTATATATATATATATATACATATTATAAATAAATGAATAATATTAATATTTCTAGCCGTTAATATGACCAATTGTCCGCGACCATGAAATTCGAACCCAAAGCGCAAAGAGTTTTAAACACTTACGCGGTATACTTTAAGACAATTTACACAATTTCGTAACTTGTGCAAGCGTAATGCATAATGTACATATTACAGCTCACTTATGAAACTTATTATTATTAAATTATTGCACATTGTGGGATTTAATTTTCTAAAACATTGTTTTTCCTTTTCTGTATAAAATAAAGTTAAGCTAAAAGACGATATTAAAAAGTTATATCCTCTACAGAGTAAGCAAACGAAAATTGATAAATTTCTTTGTGGATATTTGGAGCGCTGA